CACAATAGTCAAGATAGGGAATCAACCTAAGTGTCCATCCACAGATGAATGCATGGAGAAATTGTGGTGGGCATTGTATATCGAAAAAAAAAAATTAAAAAAAAAAATTTTTTTTTTAAATTTTATTTTGTCGATATACAATGCACACCACAATTTCTCCATGCATTCATCTGTGGATGGACACTTAGGTTGATTCCCTATCTTGACTATTGTGAATAGTGCTGCTATAAACGTGGTGGTGCAGATATCTCTTTGATTAAGTATAAATATTTTTATTCAAGTTGAAGATAAAGGAAATGGCAATTAATGCTTTGGCATCAAAGTCATCATGGTAGTTGAGCACAAAAAATATGCTCTCAAATATACTGTACTCCATACATACAATTATCATGGGTCAGTTAAGAAAAATAAATTAGGACTGGCCGGTTAGCTCAGTTGGTTAGAGCACAGCCTTGTAATACCAAGGTCAAGGGTTTGTTTCCTCATACTGGCCAGCCACCCCCAACCCCCCAAAAAATTGCATTAAAAAAAAAAGAAAAAGAAATTTAAAAGGGGGAAAAAAGAGAAATAGAGAGTAGAATAGTGGTTACCAGGAGCAGGGAAAGGGCAAGGCTAGGGGGTTTGGGGAAAGGTTGGCAGACTGGTTGGTACAAAGCTACAGTTAGACAGGAAGAATAAGTTCTGGTGCTCTAGGGTGACAATGGCTAATAATACTCTATTGTATATTTCAAGATAGGCGGAAAAGAGGATCTTGAATGTTATAACTACAAAGAAATGATAAATGTTTAGGTGATAGATATGCTAACTATTCTAACTGTGTTGTTTTACAGTATATGCACATATGGAAACAACAAATTGTACCCTATAAACACATATAATGAAATAAAAAAAACCAAAACCCAAAAAACAACAAAGATAGGTGTTTCTTCCAAGGATGCAAACCCCAGCATGGAGGGCTTGGATGATAGGACTGCAGTGTTAGGGATAGGAGGGGCAGCCACTGGAGGCTTAGCTATACTCATGTATGGTATGACCCGCTTTTTTTTTTTGGTAGAAGAAAAACAGCCCCTCCCACCTTTTTCCAATTATGTCTATTTGTTTAAGTCCAGGAAAAGGTGAGACTGTAAACTCAGGTGATTAGCCCCACATGACCCTTCTCATGGTCCTTACTTAGAATTCTTAAAAACAAACTCTGTTAATTTTTCTCCCCAACAGAACACTTACGAACATCAAATTAATTTCTATTCATGCCCATGTAATGGTTAGAGAGTTTACAGGAAATCTTTACTCAAGAAAACTTACCAACACTTTAACCCTACAAAGCTGATTTCCTGTGCTCTCAAAAATAAATTCAAATACATGGCTGAACTTAGTCAAAATTAAGGGGGACCAGGGAAAGGCAGCCGTCTTACATGCTAACTGCTGCTTACTGTGCTCTGCTCTTTGGAAAGACCTCTTATTCTCTTATTAAGAAGCACTTGTACAAGTCATTGTGATTCAGAGGATAAGCCTCTGCTTGATTGCAGGTGAGATTAAATTGCATCTTCATGCCAGCGTTTCCCACACTTGGCTGATGATATGGTTCACCTGTGGTGCAAGTTAAATTGGTCCCTGGGACCTGTATTAGACTCAGTGAATCAGAATCTCCATGGAAGGGGCCCAGGACCGTTTACATTTGCACCCTGTGTTTGGAAACCACTGCCTTAAGTGGTTCTCAAATTCAAAGTGCACTCAAGCAACTGAGAGCTTGTTAAAATGCCTATTCCAGGCCCCACCCCCCGGTGATTCTGATTTTGTAGGTCTGGGGTAGATTCAGGGGTGTTTCTAGTGAACACTCTCAGTGTCTAATGCTGGGGTAATTGGCTGGCTGGGGACTTTCCTAACAGCCCTGAAGCCCACCCCCCAGGCAGCCCACTATAGATGAGGCAGGAAATTTACAGTCAGGAGATATGAGTTCAAGTCTTAGCTTTATCTTGTATGAGCTGTGTGGCTTTGGGAAAGTCACTTAACTTCTCTGAGCTTCTCTTTTCACATCTGTAAAATAGGTAAGATGGCTCACCCATCTTAGACTTTGGTCATGGATGAGGCTTAAATGAAGTGACTCAAGGGAAAAAATTTTTTTTATAAAGGTAAAATTCACATAACATAAAATTAACTGTTTTAAAGTGTACAATTCAGTGGCTTTTAGCACATCCACAGTGTTCTGCAACCATCATCTCTATCTAGTTCCAAAACATTTTCATCAACCCCAAACAAATCCCAAACCCGTTAAGCAGTTACTCGCCATTCCTTCCTTCCAGCCCTAGGCAACCGGAACTTTGCTTTCTGTCTGTACGGATTTATCCATTCTGAATATTTGTGTCTGGCTTCTTTCACCTAGCATACTGGTTTCAAGGTTCATCCATGTTGAAGCATGTATCAGCACTTCATTCCTTTTTATGGAGCATACCTCATTTACGCTTATCCATTCACTTGATGGACATTTGGGTTGTTTCCATCTTTTGGCTAGTGTGAATAATGCTGATATGAACATTTATGTACAAGTGTTTGAATGTCTGTTTTCAATTTTTTAGGCATATTCCTAGGAGTGAAAAAGCTGTCTGGGAAAGTATTTTTAAGCCTTAAAGCTAGTGTTCACGACTAAGGTAATTGAGGATCCACTGAAGTTATGGGTTTCCAAGTACAAATGTAAAACTTTACGCTTCCGTTTCCCTGGGGAGAGAATTTAGAGCTTTTTTTTTGGCTGGTTCTCAAAGGAGTACTCATGCCATGAAAGGTTACAATCCACTGGCCTAAAACATTGAACATATTTACGATATTCTTATTGATTGTACACTTCGAAGTCCTGGGTAAATGGAGCCAAATTTCACTTGCCGTGTCACAACTTAATTTCAATGATAAGTATTTCATTAATTCTAAGATGCAATTTTCCCACTTTTCACGGGGGCGTGTCTTACAGTCAGTTGTGTGTTATGATCGCTGCCACCAGGTGGCGTCACATTCCTGTGTGTGCGCAAACGTGGAGCACACCGAGCATCAGCCTTTGCAGAAGCGGCGTGAGCGCCTTGGGGGAACGCTCTGCAGGCAACAGGGGAGCATTCGTAACCATGGGAACCAAGTGGCGGGAAGGGGGTGCAGAAGGTGGGAAATGTGTAAGCCACGTTCTCGAAGCAGGAATCAAAAGTAGGTCTACTCTCGGCTGGGACAACGGCGAGGCAAGAGAGGCTTTGGGGGGCGTAAAGTGTGCGGAGACATTCTTTTTAAAGTCTGACTCTGCATCACAGGACAGCCCCAGTCCCAGCCCTGCCTCGGCATAGTTGCAAACGCTGAGCACCGAAGACTGTAGTTCTTTTATGAACTCTCCAAGGGAAGTCTGCATTTCCGATGCTTTTGATGGCATCGGCAGTATTGAGTGGAAAAATAGGACACCAAAGACCCAGAGTCACAAATGATTCCAAAGTGGCAGACTCTGAAGGTGGGGAAGTTTAAAGACAAGGAAAACAATTTATTTTCCTTATATTTTCATTTTAAAGTTTTCATAAGTGTAGTATATGATAAAAATCTAAGCTTGAATTAGCTCCTTTTGTAAGCAAAAATAAAAATGCTAAGCAAGAAGACATTGTGTCATAGTTTAATTAGCAACATTTTTTTTTCTTTCTCTGTGGTGGGTAAAGGGATGGTGGCATCTTAGATTTAATGAAGTACAGTAGCAGAGCTTTTTAGAGCAAGTTCAGAATTCCTGTGAGCCAGTTCTCATATCTTCAGATAAGTGTAGTATATGATAAAAATCTAAGCTTGAATTAGCTCCTTTTGTAAGCAAAAATAAAATGCTAAGCAAGAAGACATTGTGTCATAGTTTAATTAGCAGCATTTTTTTTTCTTTCTCTGTGGTGGGTAAAGGAATGGTGGCATCTTAGATTTAATGAAGTACAGTAGCAGAGCTTTTTAGAGCAAGTTCAGAATTCCTGTGAGCCAGTTCTCATATCTTCAGAGACCTCAGATCCCGTGTTGAGAGTAGGTTTCTTTACCTTTACAAACGGGCAGTGGTCCATTCCAGTGGGATGGCTGTCCCAGGATACATCGAATGGTTACTTCTCCCATGAGCTCGAAGCCTTCATAGCACATGAAGGTGAGAGACTCTCCTGGCAGGTAGAGTCGCTTGTACAGGATTTGGTATCCATTCTCAGGCAACCCTGGGTTGTCACATGCCAGGGACTCCTCCGCTGAAATGCAAGCCAAAAGAAGCTCTGATGAGATGATGCAAATCTCTGGGGACTCCCACACAGAGCCTGTGTGATCTGGTTTTGGCCAGCCTCTCTAGCATCCTTTCTACATCCCCAGTTAGCATCAAACTTTTCCATTCTTTATACTCACCTTTCTCCCACTGCTGGGCACAGATTACACATGGGCATGATGGAGTGAATGGGCTGTGGGATCTGGGTGAAAATCTGGGTTATGCTCCTAATTAGCTGGGTGACCTCCAGCAAGTGGCATAATCTCTCTGATCCTCACTTCCCTCATCAGCAAAATGAGAATAATAATAGTACCTATCTCATAGAGATTTGGAAGACTAAATAAGATAATGGGTGTAAGGTACTTAGTAAATGATGGATGGGGGTGATGGTTAATTATTATTCTTACTTCTCATGTTACACCTAACCCACCCAGCCAGCCTGGCTAGGTCTTGTCTCTCAATACCAAAAAAAAAGTCCTCATTTCTCCTACTCCAGGAAGACTTCCCTGATGCCTCCTACCCCTAGCTGATGAGCTCGGTAAGCCAAGCTTGAAGCTCTGGGCTTGGGATAAATGGCCCCAACTAATAGGCCCACACTGCCATCTGGTGGCTGCTCTCTTCCACTGTAGACACAAAGTCCTTGATAGCCTAAGACGTTGGAGAATTGAACCTGCGGGTTTAATCCATTTCAGGCCCAGCATGTGATCTAGCTTTTGTCCAGCACCCAGATGAAATGGACAGTCATCAAACACTGCTTTGCACACAGGACTACAAATCCTAAAACATTTAAAAAATTTATTGTTTAAAAAATTTTCAAATTGTTGTAAAATCCATATAAAATAAAATTGATCATAACCATTTTAAGTATACAGTTCACTAGCATTGGGTACATTCACATTGTCATGCATCTGATCTCTCATTTGGCCAAACTGAACTCTGTATGCGTTAAATGACTCCCCTCCCCCAGCCCCTGACAACCACCATTCTATTTTCCGTTTCTATAAATTTGACTTCTCTAGGTACTTCGTATAAGTGGAATTATATAGTATTTGTCTTTTTGTGACTGGCTTATTTCACTTAGCTTAATGTCCTCAAGGTTCATGCATGTTGCGTACCATGTGTCAGAATTTTCTTCCTTTTTAAGGCTGAGTAATATTCCATCATGCGTGCATACAGCATTCGTTTATCTACTCATTCATTGACAGACACTTGGGTGGCTTCCACCTTTTGGCTATTGGGAATAATGCTGCTATGAACATGGGTGTACAAATATATCTTCAAGACCCTGCTTTCAGTTCTTTTGGGTGTTTACCCAGGAGTGGAATTGCTGGATCATATGGTACTTCTATATTTTACTTTTTGAGGAATCTCCATACTGTTTTCCATAGCAACTGCTCCAGTTTTCATTTTCACCAAGAGTGCACTGGAGTTCCAGTTTCTCCACATCAAATCCTAAAACAGTTTATCCTTTTCTTCTGGACTTTGCTTTGGCTTAGGAAGACCCACGTCTTCAAATATCACATCCTGCACCTGCCATCAGTGTGGCAAAGAAACACGATGGAAAGAGCTTCCATCAACAGCTTCTGATATCCGCTTGATTGGCAAAACTCTCCAGAGAGGTAGCATGCTGTCTCTTTTACTTGAAGTATTCCTGTAACATCTGAGTGATTTTTATACCTTACTAGTATAATTCCCCAGCCCGTCGTCATGTCGACTCTGCAGATCCTTGTTCAGAACATGGAACAGGTGGGTCATTTATGTTTTACATGATGATTCTGATGCACCTTGAGAGGACACAGTCTCTCCAGATTTGGCTTTGTCTCATCTCCTGCCTCCCTCTCTGTTTCTTACCTTTCATTGAAATATTTGCATTTTGCCAGATGGATGACGCTGTGTCACCTGTGGTGCTTTTGTCTGTGCTGCTCCCTCACCTGGAACACCTTTCTCCTCCTATTTACAGGGGAATATGGAAGACTGGTTCTAAGACAGCCCTTAATGATTCCTACACTCTCCTCTGAGTGTGGGCAGGATCTGGGAATTGCTTCTAACCATCAGAATATGGCAAAGGGGATGGGATGTCACTTCCATAATGATGTCACCTAAGATTGTAACTTCTGTCTTGCTAGCAGACTCTCACTGTCTTTGTTGGAACACTTGGCTATGCTCTGAGCTGTGCTATGGAAAGGCCCATGTGGCAAGGAAGTTAGGGTGGTCTCTGGCCAACAGCTTGTAAGGCGCTGAATCTTGCAAATACCCATGTGAGCTTGGAAGTGGACCCTTTCCCAGTTGAATCTTTGCATGAGACCCCAGCGACGATGAGAGATCCTGAACCAGAGGACCTGGTTAAGCTATGCCCAGATTCCTGGCCCACAGAGACTGTAAGACAATAAACATATGTTGTTTGAAGCATCTTATTGTGCAACATGAATCTCAAGGATCCCCTCAAGGCCCAGATCTGTCCCCAGTGGCATGAATTCCTCTGTTCTTGGAACCATGTCCTATAACCTGCAGAGACCTCCATTACAGCTTCAGAATATTTTCTGGTACTGCTTAGTTCTCACCTCTGCACTTCTTTCCCAGACTGGAATCGTATTATGTCTGTGCCAGAACTCCCAGCGCCCAGCACAATGCTTGGTCACAGGAAGCATGCATTTGTGCAGTCAACAAATGCTTACTGAGCAATAATTATGTGCCAGCACATAGGTAGCACTGAGGACACAGAGGTGAATAAAACAGATATAACCCTGGCCCCATAGAACTTGTGGGTGGGAGGCACTGGCATAATAGAGGTCCCACCAGGAACATTTTTCTCTGTGAATATGACCTGCATATGGGCTCCATATAGCTTGTGCAATGTAAATTTTAAAATAGCTACTAAGCTTTCATAATAGAGGTCCCACCAGGAACATTTTTCTCTGTGAATATGACCTGCATATGGGCTCCATTTAGCTTGTGCAATGTAAATTTTAAAATAGCTACTAAGCTTTCCCAAATCAGGATATTTCATATAATAATCTAGATTTCTGGCTCCTTCTAAAACATCAGAACATCCAGAAATACTTGGTTCACGTAGTCACATGGCAGTGATTGGCTGGAGTTGAGCAGCAGCTGTCCACTAGGACAGGGGTGTGTTTTATTTTAGCCACAATCTCCATCACTCCCTGTCATCTTTTGCACAGTACTCGCCTCGCCCTGTGGGCATTTAAATGTATCACCTTTCCAATGAACAAATAAATGAACAATGAAAGAATATGTTTAGTGGCAGTGATCACCACCACCGAAGGATTTGGGCTTTGATCTCGAATGTGTAGGTGGGTAGGAACACAGCTCCTATTCTTGAGGTTGAAGGATTTTCCTTTATACTTCAGTGGCAGCCTTCACTGAGAGTTCAGAACTGGTTTTTGTTTGTTTGTTTTGTTTTTGTTGTATTTTGCTGTTCTTCAGATCCAACCAGCCCAGAAGTCAGCCTGTCCAGGTGACTGTGCAGGTCACTGTGCAGTTAGGGTTGTGTCATGTATGACCACACAGATGTGCACTGGCAGGCATGCATGCATTTATTCAGAAAATATTCCATGAGTGCTTACTGCATGCCCGGCCATGCATCCAGCAGTGGGATCGGGCAGTGGGTCAGACTCCATCGCTGCTCTCCATGGTCTGGGGGCTCTAAGGGAGCAAACCTGTGTGTGTCAACAGACAAGTTAATAAGAAATGGTAGGTGCTGTTCAAGAGAGAACCTCAGAAGACCCTGGGTGCCTGGAGGGGACCCCTGATGTAGCCAAGGGGAGGGGTGGTTAGAAAAGTTGACAAGAGAGGGGCAGAGATGCTGACTAGAGTTTCCTTTTCAGAGACTCCCAGATGTGAGGCACCGAATGGTTCACTTGATACTTGGTCAAGGCTAATCCTTCCAGTAGACGAAGGTCATCAAGGCTTGAAGTTCACCCACCAACACTTCAGAGCAGCCTGTGTATGCAGCCAAGGATTCTGTGTCTGAGCTCAGAGTCAAATCTCAAGACCTTCCTAAAGCAATCATGGGGAGCCCTTCAAGGCAGTGCTTATCATGTGTTCATGAGCAAAGCCTAAAAGGACTGGCAAGGAATCATTAGCCCTGCAGAGTGTGCCTTGGGAATGGGCTGTAGGAAGTTGCTATGGTTTGAATGTCCCCTCCAAAACTCATGTCAAAACTTAATCTCCAATGTGGCAGTATTGGGAGGTGGGACCTTCAAGAGATGATTGGGTCATGAGGGCTCTTCCATTATTTGCAGATTAATGGGTTAATGGATTAGTGGGTTACCATGGGAGAGGAACTGGTGGCTTTATAAGAAGAGGAAGAGAGACCTGAGCTAGCATGTGAGCACACTCAGCCCCCTCACCATGCGATGCCCTGCACCACCCCAGGACTCTGTGGAGAGTCCCCCCAGCAAGAAGGCCCTTACCAGTTGTGGCCTCTAGACCTTGGACTTACCATCCTCCAAAACTGTAAGAAATAAATTTTGTTTCTTCATAAATTATCCAATTTCAGGTATTCTAAGCAATAGAAAATGAACTAAGACAGAAGGGAAAATTTTGCTTTTTTTTTTTTTAAACAGCTTTATATAGTCTTTTGATATATCATTTTTTAAACAAGGTGGGCCTGCATCACTTTCATAATAAACATGAATTACATCATGATCAGGACCCAGTGCTGATCATGTTCTAATGAGTCCTCTGAAAATATTCTGAAAAAGCCTTTGGTCTTCAGGCCAGCTGGGCTTACTGCAGCCTGGTACATAGTAGGTGCCCAATAAATGTTTCTTGAAAGCCTTTACATCAACTCAATTAGAGGAAGGTTATAGAGTAGAAGAGCTAGGGCTCATGTATTCCTAGTTGTGTGTTTGTGAGCACAATTGACCTCTCTGAGTCTCAATGTCCTCATCTGTAAAATGGGCTATCTCACAGGGTTGTTATGAGCATTAAAGGAGCTCATGCTCATGAGGTGAGTACATTGGTTAT